AAGTAACAAGGCACAGTCCAGATATTACCAAATCACACAGCAGGCCATTAATTCAAGTCCACTGTAAGTCCCAAGGTCGGCAGAGCATGGCAGGCTACTGCTTATGGTAGATCCCACCAAGGAGTTGATTGCCAGTCTCATCATGGGAAATAACTACCACCAGCTGCCCAGCCACTCAACCAGGCCCAGCCAAGTTGACACACAAACTTAACTACCACAGTCCAATTTCCCTACATCCTTGCCAACATTTGTTATTATCTATTTTTTGATCAATGCCAGTTCCATAGGGGTGAGGTGGTATCTCATTGTGATTTTGATTTGCATTTATCTGATGGCTAATGATGTTGAGCATCTTTTCGTGTACCTGTTGGCCATTTGAATATCCTCTTTGGTGAAATATCTTTTGAAGTCTTCTACCAATTTTTTGATTGGGTTGTTTGTCTTTTCGTTGTTAAGTTGAAGTATTTTATGTATTTTATACATTAGGCTCTTATGGATATATGGGTCCCATTTTTTTTTTCCTCAATCTGTAGGCTATCTTTTCTCTTTTTTGATAAAGTCCTTTGATGAAGAAAATTATTTTGTATGAGATCTTGTTTATTTTGTCTTTTGCTGCTCGTACTGTTGTTGTCATATTTAATAGTCACTAAAAACCAGGTCCCACAGCCTCACTTACCCCTGCATTTTCTTCTAAGGATTATGTGGTTTTGTTTTCACATGTAGGCCCTTGATGCATTTCAAGTTGTTTTATGTGTGAGGTGTGAGTCTCAGATGCAGATTAATTCTTGTGTACGTGGAGGAAATGCAAATTCTGAGCACCATTTAGTGAAGAGACTCTTCCTTCCCCAACGAACGGACCTAACACCCTTGTCAAAATTAGTTGACCATAGCTGTGTGCACCGTAGATTCCTAAGCGGAAGAGTGAACAGGTTTTTAGGAAGGGTAACAAGGCGATAGTAGGCAAAGGAGATTCCAGTAAGGACAATGGAAACAAAAAATCCAGCAGTGCTCAAGCAGAAGTAGCTGGGGACCTGGATTAGATTTAGGGGAACAGAGAGAATAGCAGACCTGAGAGACATTAGGAAAGAATCAACAGGCTTTGAAGATGGGTTGGATCTGAGTAACAGAAGGAGAGGGAACTTGGTGTTTCTCAGGGGTGTCACTGAGAAGATGAGCACGCTGTTGGGGAGAGTCAGTTTGAGTAAGGAATCATTTCAGAAGATAATTGGATGTGGTTACATGAGTTCCTGAAATCTGTAGGGACTACAGATTTCCACAGAGAAGTCATTGAAGTTGAGCAAAGAGGAGTAGAGTGGAGGCAGAGGAGAATGGTCTGAGTACTAAATCTGGTGCAGGGGTGCAGTGCATAGGTGTGGGAGTAATGGTGGAACTTCCCAGAAAGAAAAAGTCTGTGGTCTGAGATGTTGTAAAAATGAAAGAGTGAGAACAGTGTAAATACCTTTTAATTTGGCCAAGAGATAATGATTTTCTTCTGTTCCTAGTGGTCTTGGGTATGGAGGCTTTACTATTGAGGGCCAGGAGAAACTTGATGAGGAGGACATGGAAAAGCAGTGGATGTAGCACATATATTTCAATTGTTTGGTAAGATAAGAGATTATCTGACCCTCTAAGTGTGCAGAGAATAAGGAAGGGATGGAAAAATGCTAGACAGATTTCCACATGACCGAACCTGTGGAGGTCCTTGTAAATGAGCTGATTTGCTACATCTGAGTTTCTGGAGCTTCCTGGGTAGAAAGCGTCATTGGCCCCTAATGAAGAGGCCCCCCAAAAAGCCAAACTTACTGCTGTCGAGTCATTTCTGACTCATAGCAGCCCCTCCTTGGGTTTTCGAGGCGGTATCACTATGGAAGTAGATTGCCCAACCTTCCTTCCCAGTAGTGGCTGGTGGGTTTGAACTGGCAGCCTTCTGGTTAGCAGTCAGGTGCCTTAGGCACTACACTACCAGAGCTCCCCAGGAGATCTTTCACTCACGAAGTCATCTTCTCTTCCAGAGAGAGGTAGGCAGTTCCTTCTGGGCACACTGGAGCTGCGACCTGTTTCTTTCAGGCAGACTCACTTTGTTTGCAGGGGGCACATGAATTAGCCAAATTCTCTGACCACTAGAGCAAATGTCTTCAAACTTAGAAATACACTTCTCTCTGATTCCCCATGGAGAAATTTCTACCCCTCTTTGTTTCTGCCTATAAAGAAGACATTGTCTAAAGTAATATCAACTATGAGGCAGCATGTTCTTGTCTGACATATAATTTTTATTATAAATATAGAACAAATCAACTTTAAAAATAATTCAGAGGTGGCCTTCGCCAGGCAAAATTAAATAATACAGCATAGAGAAGATGAGGGGGAAGTATATAGTAGTATCAGGGCTGGGAAACCCTGAAAGAGGTACCTGAGTAGAGAATGCCCAGCTAACCCTCTCTGTGGAAGCCTCTTAGGCACAGCATGAAGTGGTCAATATTGAATAAAATCTGTCTTCTCATAACCTCCAAGAAATTCCATTTGTGTAGAAGGCTGTGTGGGAACAGAAGAACATTTTCCTCTCCTTCTTGCCTTTTTTCATTATAAGGCACATTGGGACTTATAGACCCCAAATATAAATTCTGTCCTCATCTTCCCGTCATGGGCTAACACCCTATCCCAGCCTAAGGGGCATTAGCACCAGTGAGGCTTTCCAGGTCACACACAGTGCCAACAGCCTGAGTGACAGTGCTCCGTTCAGGGGGCTCCCACGTCTTAAGAACCAAACACACCTTGACAGAAGCCGAGGTTTCCTGAGAAATTGAAATAATTCTCTGAAGGCAAGTTCTGTTGATTCCTTTCCCATGGCCCCAGCAGATTTGTCTATTAAAAGCTGACTTCCTCCTTAAGCTGTAACCCCTCCGTTAGCAGTTCCTTGAATAAAATCCATACATATTAAAAGGTACGTGCACTTTTGCATTTTCTTTTAGGAATTGCATATTGATCTTGGCAAATAGTGTTTCTAGCTGCTTCTAGTGGGTTCTCTTGAGACAGGCTTGCCAATGGTTTTAGGTGGTCTTTTTACCAAACATAGCAAAATGCTTAGGGCCTGATCCAGCAGGTAGATGGCTCTGACAGTGGACAGAGGTGTAGAATTTCTGAGTTCAGTATTAGCTATATATTTGATTTTCACACTGAGCTTTGGGGAGATAGGAGAAGCCATTACTGGTTTTATTTTTTCTCTCCTTTTCTGGTACATTGCCCTCAGGTTATGGCAAATTCAAGGCAGACTGTGTTGGGACAGGACTCTGGTGGAAGGAATGAGTGTGCTCTGAAGAGGTAAGTTTAAAAAAAGTCTGGGTCAGGAAAGGGGGCGGGATGGGGAGGTTTTAGCAACTCTTTCCCAAAGTTGGCTTTGCCAAATTTCAATGACATCTACTGACCCTGGAGGGAGAGGCCGTGACCTGGTAGGCTGGAGGTACAGCAGCGATCTCCTAGTGATGGGGATGAGAGGGGCTTGGAGTAAATATATCAGCAGCGTAGCGAGCAAGACAGGTCGCATTACTCTTTTTTTACTTCTGTATAGATCGTTTCTGTGGCTGTTGGTGATGGGGAGGCTGAAGTTGATATCTTGGGTTGCTGGCCATTAAAGTTCAGGGAAGAATATGTAGTTTCATTGATCTGAAAAGCATGAGTAGCAATTGATTAAATCAATGTCAAGGTTATGCCCTCACCCAGCCTAGTTGATGCAGTACCACTTACTATCACCACTTTAGAACTTTTCGCTTTGGAGAAGGACTTTGTTACCCTTATCTCTGCTTGATAAAGTCTTGCTGAACAGTTATTAGAAGAGATACATTATAGTATTCATACAATGGAAGACACTACAGTAATGAGAATGAACAAACTACAAACACTCACAACAGTGGGAATGAGTCTCACAGAAGATAACATTGAATGGAAGAAGCCAGACACGTATAAGCATATACTGTATTTTTCATTACAGGAGACCCAAACCAGCAAAACTAACACTAGAGCTTTGGAAATCAGGATAATTGTTACCCTTGGGTGAGAAATGACTGGCAGGTATTTTTTGGGGGTGATGCTGCTTATGTGGCTATGCTCATTTCATGAAAGTTCGTACACTGTGAGGGTATATTACATTTTAAGCATTTTTCAGTATATATCTGTGCTCTATTAGAAGGTTAAAATGACAAAAATTCTGTAAAATTATTGTAAAGGAAGTAGGACCTCAGAATGTCCTTTATGATGGGAATCATCCTTTTGACAGCAAGAGCAAGGTCAGATGAAGGTCGAGGAGGGAGAATTATTTAGTATCTTTTGACTGCTAACCAGAAGGCTGGCGGTTCAAACCCACCAGCCAGCCACTCCTCTGAAGGAAGACTGGGCAATCTATTCCATAGAGGTATCATCTCGGAAACCCAAGGAGGGGTCTCTATGAGTCGAATCAACTTGACGGCAGTGAGTTTGGTTTATTTTTTTGTTTTCTTTGTGGTGGGTGTGTGACATATGTTCTTTAATCCTTTCAAATTCCCTTTAAAGTAGGTAGAAAACTCACTTTGCAGATGATAGAGCTGAGGGTCAAAGAGGTTAAGTAACGTGCCCAAAGTCACAGAGCTACTAAGGGTCACAGCCAGGATTCAGACACAGGATGAGATGACTCCAAAATCCAACTTCTTGCTGAAGTAGACTCAGGGGAGTCATTAACCAGTACTTCTCTGTTGTTACATTGAGGCACTCTGACCCAAACTTGACTCACATTTGTGTGTTCAAGAATAACTCATTCTATACATAAGGAAGAGGTGGCTGTGGGGAGGAAGTGGATGGAGAGGGGTTGCACTGTGGGAGATTACAGTCAATGTCATGAGGCAAAGTGTATGTGAACTGCTGTGTGGAAGATGAATTTGCCCTGCAAACTTTCACCCAAATCACAATAAAATTAAGAAAAAGAAAAAGAATAATTCACTCTAGAGTTTTTGCTTATGGGGAACTGAGTTTGTGTCAATGATGGTGAAACGGTTTGGAAAAGGAAAGGAAGGATAGTTGTACAACTTGAAGAAGGACTCGATGTCACTGAATTGTCCATGTACAAATCGTTGAGTTGGTGTTCTGTGTTGTTATGTATATTTTCACTACACACACGAAGAATAACTCGTTGCACACAGAGATGTTTCCATGAGAAAAAGAGCCAGTGAAACTGGCTGTGCTTACCTTGTTAGCTGTGCAGGCGTCCTGACCTGGGAAAGGAAGCAAAAGAAGAGTTTCAAATGTAGGAAAATGCAAGGCGGACCCCCAGCCTTTGAGCAGGAATGCTGCTAGGCTGTTGCAGGTGATAAGGAGTGGACTGGTCCATGACCAGGTGAGGAATTCCGCTTCCCCCTGAGTTTGTGGTCCAGCAGCATTAGTACCAGAGGAGGGGCAGGAATAGAGCCAGAAGAGGCCTCAGTCCACTTCTGAAGATTTCTCCCAGGTCACAGGCCTTGGCTTTTGCCCAGCTGCATTCCCAGCAACAGGCTCCAGTGCAAGGAGGGGCAGTGAGACCCACACAGCACCCAGAGCACCCACAAGGCAGGGGAAACATCTCACCGAGGGAGCATGCCCACATCCATCACAGAGGCAGGAGGGGAAGGAGCAAGGATGAGGAAATGGCTCCTGGAAACATGTCCATCTCACTCAGGCCTGCTTGGCCTGGGCAGAGAGAGCGTCACTACTGGGTGTTTCAGGGGAACCAAACGGGCGGAGGAAGGGTGTGAAGACCTATGCCAACTCACAGTTGGGAAACAGAGATCCCTCTGTAAAAACTCAGGAGGGAGTCGTGTGGCAATCCAGGACTCCCTGCTATGTACGGCAGGGTAGGTGGTGGAACCCAACAGCTCTCACTGGGTCAGTGGCTTTACTTACTGTGCTTGGATGCTGAGGCCTTGGGCTCAGTATGCTCACGCTGGTCGCCTGCCCTAAATAAATATCAGACACTGTGACCACTATTGCCAAGCATAAGAACGTTGCTCCCTGAACTAGGAGGACACTTTCACAGATAACTCCTTGGTGTTCACTTACACCAGGCCTGGTACTGCCTTTCGTGTTAGGGCCTCATTTCTTAGTCTAGCCACTATCCCTTCTCGTGTCTCCTCCTGTCCATTTGCTGAATGTGCCCATGTATTGCTTGTTGTTCTTGTTGATGTTATGTGCCATCGAGTTGATTTTCGACTCATAGAGACCCCATGTGACAGAGTAGAACTGCCCCGTAGGGTTTTGTAGGCTGTATTATTTACGGGAGGAGCTCTGCTGGTTTAGTAGTTAAAGCTCTGGGTGCTAACCAGAAGGTTGGTGGTCCAAACCCACCAGACTTTCCATGGGAGAAAGATGAGGCAGTCTGCTTCTGTAAATATATACAGCTTGAAAACCCTATGGAACAGTTCTACTCTGTCCTATAGGGTTGCTATGAGTTGCAATCGACTTGATGGCAGTGGTATTGAGTTACAATCGCCTTGATGGCAGTGGTATTTATTCCTTATGGGAGCAGATTGCCAGCTTCTTCTCTTGTGGAGCTGCCAGGTGAGTTCTACGTGCCAGCCTTTCCGTTAGCAGCCTAGTGCTTAAGTTGTGCCACCAGGGCTCCTTCCAAACAGACAAACAGAAAACCTACTGCCATTGAGTCGATTCTGACTCCTATAGGAGTTTCCAAAGCTGTAAATCTTTACAGATGGAGATTGCCTCATCTTCCTCCCATGAACAGCTGGTGGTTTGAACCACCACCCGTCTGGTTAGCAGCCAAATGCCTTACCCACTCGCCACGAGAGTTCCTTAGCTGTGCACCTTTACCTCCCATCTTTAGCGACCGCTTCTGAGCCTACTTCTACCCTAAGACCTTTCCCTCTTTTTGAGAAGTAGATACTACTTTTTGCCCTCACTTTAGTTATTGTCTAAGTGGCTTCCTGGTTGTTTCTGCTTTCTCCTAGATTCAGTCTTTGTTCTGTTCCTCATTCCTCCTGCTTCTGTGGGCATCAGAGCACATGGCTTCCTGTCTCTCGCTAATTTCTTTTTCTTTTCCTTTTGGACCCTGGCGTCTCTGTCTGGAAGACAGAGAACGTAATGAAGTGTTCTCTCTCTACAGGCAGATGGAGATGGGAATATCCATGTCTAAGAGACGGTGGGGTACAGTGAGCACGAAGACCAGGGAAGCAGAGACCCACAGGCATTAGTGCGGAGAAGCAGGTGTATAGGAAGAAGGAGAGGAGGCCCAGCCCAGAGGCAGAGGTGAAGAGTCCTTCCCCTCCCCTAAGCAGGACAGTTAGCCTTGGAAGAGGCAGAACACACGGAAAGCCACCCTACCCTCCAGTCTTTCTGACATACAGGAAGTACACCAGGCCTCCTATCAGAGCCACCCCGGCCAGTACGCCAATCACGATGCCGGCAATGGCCCCACCAGAGAGTCCAGAACTTCCTGGTGCTGAAGGATCATCTGTCATGGGAAGAAAAAGGAGAAGGAAAGAAAGAAAAATTATTTTACCGCACGACTGCCCTGGGAAACAACTGTCAACATGAAGTAGTCCCTACTTGTTCCATCCAAGAATGGATTTGAATAGAGAGGTCACTGTGAGGTGATTGGCAGACTGTGCCCTTGTACTTCTTTCTCTCTCACTGTTTCTAGGTGGATGACCAACCCTGTCTCATTTTCATCCTGCACTCAGATAGTTTTGAAGCTTTGTGAGCGTGACAAAGGCTGGCTGCTTTTTTTGTGTGTGTGCCTTTAGAACTTCCCTCTTGACTTCCCGCCTTTTCGTGGTTACATCTTTTTCTGTTTCCCAGAAATGGCGGCCATGGATCTGCACCACTCAGATCTCCTGTGGTGGGGTCTTACCTGAATGAAGACCCAGGCTAATGCACTTGGAATTCACTTTGTTTACATACAGGCCAGGCTCACCACAGGCTCCCAGCAGGGGTACTAAAGCAGGCCCATTTGTGAGAGTCAGTTTCCTCTGATAGGTGACTGGCTTGGGGACTCCTATCGGCCCTGTGGAATCTGCAACCTCAGACTTGCTTCCCTCCCTTTCCCCTTACCAGGGATCCGATCTGCCTCAGGATTGGGGACTGTCCCAGGCTGCTCCTGCTCCTGACCCATTGTCCCTAATAAATACCTTGACTGTTACTGGTTTCCCTGCAGCTTCTTGGGATGAAAACTAACACACCAGGCTTGAAATTTTGCACTCTTTTTTTTTTTTTTCAGCATTTATCTTTTTATCACCTTCAATAGTGTTTTCCTTCAATTAAATCTCCACTGTTGACATTGAATGTGTGATAGTTAATCTATCTACAAGAGGCACTATCCTAGACACTAATTTCTTCATATCTTAATCCAGACTTTTTCTAAATTCATTTTGAATTATAGATTTTTTTAAAACTCTTTAAAAGAATTGGTAATTACAGAATAAAGAATCTGGCACAGAAGGGCCATTCAATAAATTAAAGTATTTTTAAATGCTTTGCTTAAGAAGGCTTTTCTATGTTTTATTAGTGGGTGTCTTCAGAACCAAATGTCACTCCCATGGATTTCCTCAAGGTTGGTGGTTCAAACCCACCAGCCACTCCACAGAAGGAAGACTGGGCAATCTACCTTTGTAAAGATTTACTGCCTTGAAAACCCAAAGGGGGTCACTGTGAGTTGGAATTGACTTTGGTCTTTTTTTTTTTTTTTTTTAGGCAATATCACAAATGGTGCCAGTGATTAAGCGCTAGGCTATTGAACTGAAGTTTGATTACTTTGTAGGAAAGCCTTGGCAATCTGCTTTTTAAAGATCACACTTAACTCTTACCTCCCTTTCTTTCTCTCCTGTACTTAGTCCATAATCATGTGGATTTCTGTGTAATGCATCCCCGCTCCCCCCCCTTTTGCATCTGTTTCTACTTTGTTGCTTTCTCTTGCAACCATCTCGGCTTTAGCCCTCCCCAGTCACCCCAAGGCTGATTGTCAGTGTTAAGGCCAGTTAATCTGTCACACAGACATTGTTAGCTTTTTACAGATGAAAGAACTGAGGCTGACAGTGGTGAAAAACTTACCCAAAATCTTACGGCTAACAGGTGGTGGATCTGGGATTTGACACCAGCAGTCCCTGACTTCCAGGCTAATGATAATAAAACTCACTGCCACTGAGTGGATTCTGACATATAGTGGCCCCCACTGGGTTTACAAGGTGGTAAATCTTTACAGAAGTAGATGGCCCCATCTTCCTTCTGAAGAGCGGCTCATGGGTTTGAACCACCAACCTTCTGGTTAGCAGTCAAATGCCTTAGGCACTGTGCCACCAGAGCACCAATGATAATAGCCGTAATGATAAAAGCTAGTATTTATGAAATATTTTCTATGCTTGTGGCATTTTGCTAAGGGTTTAATCCATTTTCACATGAAATCTTTAAAACAATATTACGAAGCAGCTACTCTGTTCAGTTGGGGCATCTGAGTCTCAGGGAAGATAAGGGTCTTGTGCAAGTTCAAACAGTGCTTGTGAAACTTACAAATATCTTTGTTTCAGAGCCTGAGCTCTTGACCACTTTACGACTGTTTACTGTAATTGTCTCTAACTGCTATTCTGCCCGTGATGTTTAGCATTTTGTACCCATGGTAGAGCTCATCTACCCAGAGAAGATGTAGGAGGGCATGAGGGTACTCACAGTTCACAGTCAGCCTGAAGAGGTCACTTCTGTTGTGACTGACCGGATTGGAGACCTCGCACTGATAGGCCCCGGCGTCCTCCCTTCTGACAGGGTTTATGGTGAGGGTGCTGTTGTCCTGGGTCAGTGCCATCCTCTCTGTGAGCTGCAGGCTCTGCCCGTTGTGGATCCACTGGATGGAGATGCCAGTGTCGTTGGTGAGGCAGGTCAGGTTCAGGGGGCCCTCGTTTTCTGTGACTGTGCTGTTGTTGCCATGGATGGAGGGCTTTGTCAGGGACTCTGAGGAGAAACGGAGGGGTGACTGTGAGAGGAGGCCTGAGGCTGGGGATAATCATCTTCCCACAAGATCTCTGCCAACTTACAGCCCAGAGAGTGGTCCCGACCTCTGCAGAGGTCATATGTCTGTCTGGGAGGGGATCTGTGAGGACAGGCTGGTCCTTCCCCTCACTAGGAAGTAGGTACAGCCCCCTGACTCTGGGGTATCAGCACTGGGCCCTCTTCTCAGCCCATGTGTCCATCAACCTTGTCGTCATGTGGGAATTTTCTCCTCTAGGTGTTCATGTGACCTTTTCCTAGTGTCTCCTGTGACTTTGTAAGAGATAAGACCCCCCTCTAGTAGTAGCAATAGGTGAGGAAAGCAAGCTGCCAGTCCTGTCCATCTCTGGGGCAGGGCAGCTTAATGTAGGGAAGGGAAGGTGTTTCCTTTTTGTTAAATAACACAGTAGGGAATAACACATGTTGTTGTTGTTCTTATGTGCCGTGGAGTTGGCCCCAACTCATAGCGACCCCCTCCTTGGGTTTCTGAGGCAGTATCACTACGGAAGTAGATGGCCCAACCTTCCTTCCGAGGAGTGGCTCGTGGGTTTGAACTGTCAGCATAGCCTGGTCCAATCTTCACAGTCTTAGAAAATAGAGAGTCTGTTTCCAATCTGAAGGATTTCTCAATCTGAAAAAGTTTTGCTTCTGGTCTATGGGTTGACTATCAGGTGAAGGTAACCTTAGAGAGAAGTGGTTATGTTTTTAACAAAGGCTGGTACTCTATACACAACAGTGAAGCTATGAGAGCTGGAACTTGACAAGACTGCCCTGTTTTTCTGGGCCTTGCAAGTTTTTCTTTGACAAGGTGCAGTCTTACCACTTTTCTATAGCTCTTTATTAGTGGAACATGCCTTTTCCTTCTCTGATAGGTTTCCCCGTTACACAGGCTCTGGATCTCGCGGGTTCCTTCCTTCCCATGAAGAGACTCCGTGGGAGAATCCACCTAGTTTTCCAAGTAGATTCATGACGCATTGTTTCCCTTTGTGTGTCATCTGGGCCAGTGCCACACAGCATATACAGCTGTGACTTTAGAGACAGGCACGGGCTCAGATGAGTCGGCCCCAAAGGTGGCACCTGCCCCATTTCCCTGCAGCCTGATCTGCTGTGGCTCTGCCATCGATGGGCTGCCCTTTCTAGCAACACGAGGACACAGCACATGCGCATCTGCTCCGGGCTACCACCGGGTCTGACGACAGGGCTGTGCTTGGAGGCAGGGACAGATCAGGGAGGCGGAGCTCCATTCTGCCCATCACCCAGTGGAGGTGGTCTCATCTTCCCATTGGGGAAAACATGTGACCTTGTTCAAAGCCTTGTATGCTCCTTGGAGCACATGGAGTCAGTGAGAGAAAACAAAGAGACGACAGAAAGAGACAAGTTAGGGACAGAAGGAACAACTTGATCTTGAGGCTATTTCTTCCTCCCCCCACTACGCAGCACCCTCCCATTCCAAGGACTTTCTGGGACTGACAGAGGCCCCTCCTCACATTCCAGGCTGGACCCAAGGTCTTCCCTGAGAAATAAGAAGAGCAAGAGGAGGGAACGGTGTCCGGGTCTATAATGGGAGGGCTCACAGACAGAATCTGGGATTCGTGTGTGCCCAGACGACACAGACTGGAGAGTAACTACTTTCAGGGTATTTTCAGAAAACCAGACCAACCTCCACCACAGAGCTCAGCACTGAAGTTCCAGCCACTTACCGGAAACTGTGACAGTCTTGACCGTGGTTCTGTTGCGGCCAGTGGCATTGTTATAGGCAAGGCACGTATAGTTTCCATTATCACTCATATTGATGTTGGGGACACTGAGCACTTGGGTGGATTGCAGGTAGCGCCCACTGATAGACCAAAAATACTGTGCGGGTGGGTTAGAGGCTGCTTGGCAGGAGAGGCTGAGGGTTGCCCCTACAAGGTAATGTGGAGCTGAGGGTAAAATGATGGGGGTGTCCGGGCCATCTGGAGCAAACAGAATAAAGCCATGTTGTAATGTAACTAGAGGGGAGGGGAAGCTCCTGCTCTGATATAGCCACAGTATCCCTCTGAGTCTTGTTTTTTAAAAGTCCCACATAATGACCCCCTTGACTTCTCTGACCCTGATTCGGAGACCACCAACTTGTCTCTCCCATCACAGGTATTGACCCCGAGCATCTCAACATAGGAACAGCCCCTCCCCTCCTCATCTGGCACCATGGGTAAGACTGCCCACATTTGCCTGGGGAAAGGATGTCATGACCAGCCTGGGGGTCAGGGACTGAGAGCCCATGTACTTGGACTTGAGAGGATTGACGTGGCCTGGCCTCTGACAATGTGGGCTTGGGTTGGAGCCTGTGACAAGTGGGAACAGAAGTTACTCACAGGAAATATTCAGGGTGAATGGGTCACTACGGTTGGCACTCACTGGGTTCCAGGTTGCACACTCATAGGGTCCTTTGTCATTCCTTGTAACATTGTGTATAGTAAGAGTCCTGTTGTCCAGGGACAGCTCCAGCCTGCCACTCTCTGGGAGGCTCTGACCATTTCTCAACCACTGGTATGTTGTGCTCTGAGTCTCAGGATTACAAGTTAATGCTACAGAGTTCTGGTCCTCCACGGGGTTGGAGTTGTTGCTGGTGATGGAGGGTTTAGGTAAGAATGCTGTCAGATAACAGAGAAAAAATTACCCTATTTGGGACCTTTGATTCCTGCAAAGGCATCTTTCAATCAGAGTTGATATTGCGTATCTCTCAGTCAATCTGTAGTCTGTAACATATGAAGCAGGTCTTCCTGTTAAGAGTGTAAGGCTTATGTGCCTTATTCTATCTCTTGGAAAAAGCATAGACTTTCTCGAATGTCAATTACGTAGCAGCATTTGGTCATGGAAAGTCACAGAACTGAGGTTCAGTGATCCCCCAGGGCCTCTCCTAGGCTCTTCGCTGACCAGCTGCTGCCTGACGGACCTCAGTGTCCTCACCTGGAACTTGTGCTTGCTCAGGCCCCTCCTGCTGGCCAGTTCTACGTGGCCCAGCCAGGTTATGTTTTCTCTGAAACACAACTGCTTGTTCAAAGATACCCTAGATGTGGGTAATGATGGGACTTCTAATTGTCCTTCAGCCTGAGGATATGGGCAGCCTGGCCTGGAGACTGGCTGTCATGAGCAGAAATTACACTCAGGGAGACCAGGAGCAAGTCCACTTGTTGATCCAGTAGTCAGGCTGTGGGGCCACAAGATGGGAGTGTTTGATGGTGACTGAGGAGAGGTCATGCCCCATAAAGGGCAGAGTGAGTCCAAGGAATGATCTAGAAAAGATTGAGGGAACAGGAAGGAGCTAGCTGGCTTTGGAAGCAGAAGCATGTTTTCTGCCCTTGGTCTTGAGTGTCTCTTCTCCCAAGGCTGAGGGCAGGTGAGGGCCATGTTTATCCTTCCAAAAATACATGCGGAGAGTTTAAAATACAGAGAGGTTAGTGGGAGAGCGTGAAGGGAGCATGAACTTGCTGAGGATCTGGTTCTCGTGGACCATATGTGTGTGTGGAGTGGATCTGGATATAAATTTGATTAAATTTCTTCATATGTGAAAATTATTAATAGCTCAAAGATCTATGACCAATTGCTGGAAGCTATATTTCTCTAGAGAACACTAGAAGATCTTAGGCCAAGCTCTGAAGTCCAGCAAGGATCACATTATGATCAAAGGATGATGTGCCTCTATGCTTTGGGGACTTAGACCTGGTCCCTTCGCTTCTGACTCCCTGGTTGGATCAGTGCAGAGAGTAAGTCAAGGAGAGACATGACTATCCTGCATGCCCTATCCCATGCGTTGGTATCATTAAGGGGAAGGACCCTGGTTGTGCACACAGTGGGAAACTTGTTCTCCTGGTGACTTGGGGACCCTGGCTGGTGATGGGACCCTTTCAGGGGCTGCTGCTTCTGTTGATTTCTTTATCTTTTCCTATTGCCTGGGGCGGGTGAGCCTGGCCACAGTGTTGGTGGAAGAGGACGGAACAGTCAGAGTTAGCAGAAGTAGCTGGGGGAGGGTTAAGAGGTGAAGGGAAATTGTAGAGCAGGGCAGGCCCAGCAGGAGCGTAGGAGGAGGAGAAGGGGCACGAAGGAGCAGACAGGGCCAGAAATGCCCATGGCAGTGAGCAGTGGGGGTTACCAGTGACCTCACAGACCTGACCATCTGAGAGCCCCCAGGTGACCCAGAAGCAGAACCAGCACAACCCCGAACCCTCACCCTGCCAAGCAGCACCAGAGTCGTCATGGGTCCTTGCTCCGGGGACAGCTTTAGGGGCAGGCGGCCAGAGGGAGGAAACAGGGGTCTCCGCTACTTCAAGGGCCAGAGTCCAGTCTCCAGAGAGACTGTGGATCATTCATTCACTCACTCACCATTCCCTCCTTCCTTCTTTTATCAAAGAGCAATTGAGAACTCATTACATGTTGGGTCTGTACTAGTTGCAGAGTGTGCAGTGGGGAGTGAGACAACAGAGTCCTTTCCTTTATGCTCCAGTGTGAGAGACACACAACACATCGATAAACAAATAGACATAAATATCACTCCTCGGAAGGAAGGTTGGGCAATCCTACTTCCGTAGTGATACTGCCTCAGAAACCCAAGGAGGGGTCGCTATGAGTCAGGGCTGACTCAACGGCACATAACAACAACAACAACAGAGGGAGCTTGTGGATTGGCTGTCTGGGAGTGGAGGCCTAGACATGCCTGGCGCTGAATGATTGTTGATGTGAGTTCTAATGTAAAACTGGATGAATTATTCATTTGCTCTGACATAGCATAGTGTCTAGGGCACTTGACTGCTAACCAGAAGGCTGGTGGTTCAAACTTACCCGTTACTCCTTGGAAGGAAGATTGAGCAATCTACTTTCATAGAGATACCGCCTCAGAAACCCAAGGAGGGGTCGCTATGAGCTGGGGCTGACTTGACGGCACAAAACAACAACAACAACAACTGACATTCTGACCCCTATAAAAATAACTCCCTTCAAACTGGGGATGTCTAAGAAGAAAGGATCTGAACCAGTGGCTGCTTGTAGGGTCCACACCCCTAAAAACGTCACCTGGAATGGAGGAAAGGCCAGTGCTCTGGCTGCAGGCAGACCTTGGTGTGACTCTGATCTACCACTCATGGTCCGTGTAACCCTGATTCAGTGACTTTTTCTCTCCATGTTTCAGTTTCTCCTCACTAAGATCAGAGAAAGGCTAAATGGCATCTGGCTTGTGAGGTTGTCTGAATTAGTGCTGAAATATTCACAATTACCTGGGTCTACAGGAGCTGCCTAAATAACCAAATAAATGCTATCTATCTATTTTTGTTTGCCTCAAAGAGAGGGCTCCCTCAGGTGGAAAAGGAGTAGCCTGTAGCCTCTTCTCCCATTTTCCTTCCTCCTGGGGATGCTGACCTTCCTGTGGGATCTTCTGAATTTCTTCAGGCTCTTGGCTAATGGCCTGGGGCCCTTGTCTGTCTGTGCGCTCCAGACTGAGTCTCAGGTGGAAAACAGCTCGGCCGTTACCCAGAATAGTTCTAGGGCTGCGCTCTGGCTGGTGTCCGGCTTCAGGAGCTCTGGGACTCAGTCAGCCAGTAAATTGTTAATTCCATTCAGCCCTGCCCAGGAGGCAAGATCTAATGCCTGCTACAGGCTCCTCAGGGTGACCTGGAGTCAGGAACCCTGGGACACGGTCTGAGGAAGGGATTTCCTGGGGCTGAGCTTCTCTATGAGAACCCCAGCAGCCCCTCAGGCCACAGCCTGACTGAATCCTCTAGGGCGTGTTCATTCAGAGGGGCCCAGGGGGGTGGACTGAGTGAGCTCCCCCTGCTGAGTATTCTCCATCAGACTCTCCTCTCCGCAGTGAACGTGTGGATTCGGGACGGAATTCTGATCGAAATGCTCAAAGCCCAAGAATGGAGTGCAGAGAAGGGGTGGTGTAGACACAGCAAAGGGTCCCATCATGTTAACCTTTATCTTGAAAGTAGAATGAACCCCACCCCACACCCAGATGTCAGAGAGGAATACTCACGGTATATGCGGAACTGTCCAGTTACTGTTTCAACCTCATAACTTTGCTTTACTATTTGTAGGGTGTAGATTCCCGTGTCGTTTTGGGTGATGTTCTGAATCATCAAGGATCCGTTGTTGTAGACAGTCTCTCGGCCGCTGTAGGCAGGGCCTGTGCTGGTTGTTTGATTTTGTATGCTATATGTTAAAATACGAAGGCTGGGATCTTTAGCATCACCCCCGTTGTACCAATTGTAAGCATGAAGATCCGGTGGCACATTGTGGACAAGTAGAAGAACATTGCTCCCTTCAGCCACGTTGGAGGGCACTGACTCAATAGCGGCTTGGGCTGAGATGGGCAGACTCCAGGAGAGTAAAAGTGAGACTAGGAGGGAAGAGAGAGAAGTCAATCAGCTTGCTGACGACTGTATTGGGAGGGAAGTTGGGGCCCTTGAGTCTGATCTGAGCAGGTTTCTCTCAGCCCTTGGGCATGGGGTGTGTGTGCGTCCCAAGGTCGGCGGCACTTCAGTGCCTTTGAACCTGTCATTTCCTCTTTTCAAATACTCTCCCCCAGCTGTCTGCCCGGCTGGCTCACCGCCCTCAGGCGCCGCTCACACTCAGCAGCAGCCTTGGGAGCTGCCTTCCCTGACACCTCATCACAGACCCTCTGTCTTCGCTTTCCCACCTTTCCCTATTCTGTGTCCTTATCAACACCTGACGTCACATCCAGATCGACTTGCTTGTCTGTCCCCCTCTCCCCTAGATGTGAGAGCTCTGTCAGGGCAGGGACTTGTCTTGTTCTGTGATGTACCCAGAGGGACTAGACAGGCCTGCAAGTACCTGGGGCGTGAATCAGGGAAAGGTTCCCAGGGCCCATCCAAGTCCTGGGGTTTATCTTCCCATTTCAGAGATTGGTAGGTAAAGGCAGTGTTTAGTGCATCTTGTTAAGGCTTTTCCTAGACGTCACATTGACATACATTTATTATTATTATTGTGTCATCAGTTTTTGAAATTCATTATTTAAAAATCAAACCAAACCTGTGGCTCTCGAGTCGATTCTGACTCAGAGACCCTATAGGACAGAGTAAAACTGCCTTCTGTGGTTTCCAAGGCTGTAATCTTTACAGAAACAGACGGCTACATCATTCTCCTGTGGAGAGGCT